CCAACTAATTAATATCATTATAAGTATAAAAAAACAAATGTACTTTTTGTCGGACACATTTTTGTCCATTCGCTCATAAAAATACAATTAATTCGAAGGAAATAAATTTTCTATCATTAACATTTTATCTTATTAACTATTTCTTTTTACTGTCTGATACAGATGATAAATACAGATGATAAATTAGGTTGGTCTTTAAAGCTTATATCTTAATGCATTAGTTGACTTCGAATATTCGAAACTTCGAAACTTCGAAAATTCGACATTCGAAGTTTCTTCGTTTCTTCGGATACTTCGAAGCTTCGAAATTGCGAAGCTTCGAATAATTAAGACCACTAATATACAGTATATGTGAAATTACTCGGGAAAATCCCCTCCCCCAACCCCATATAATATTAAAAAATTAATGAAATCGGAGGGGAGGCCCCTTTTATGTATAATTGCCCGTCTGTTATTATGTAATTGAATTGTCCGATTATATTTCATCGGACATTTGTTTTATTGTTAGTGCATTTCATAAATTGAAATTTTCATCACTGAATGTATTTCAGTGTACTTGATAAATTGAAATTTTTACGGCTTTTACTATAGTTACCCGGAAAAAGAGCATCGCGCGAAGATTGCAATCACGTTTACGAATGAGTTCTACAGCCACAAATATGTTCTATCGCTTCTTATCATGCGTAATGGCGCAGATTGCTTCGCTGATTGTATAATATCACTCGAAAGAATGTCAGAGTTATTATGCATTAATAACGAATTATATTTAAGAAGTTGTAATATAAAACAGTTCACAAAACATATGAAAATATGTGTATAGTCAGCGGTTGAATGAAAACGTTAAAGTCGCTCTCTCGACAATACCGGAACTCTGGAGGGTTTTCCATTACATTTTCTTTTTGTTGTTCACCGTGGAACATTCTCGCGATTTTTCAAGCGTCTTTTTCTCCTTCTCCTCATCTCAATGTTTAACCGTCGCCTATGATTTTTACGCTCTCCGTATAAGAGATGCGGCGTGTTTACTAGAAATTTTTACTTGCCAGTCCTTTTTATTTCCATTTCTCTCTCACATAGTTTTTCTTACTTAAATATTTTATCTTGTATGCACGAGAAACTCTGAAGTCTGACGTCCCGTTAAATATCCGATCCGCCTAACATCCGGCGCTAAAAAAAAAAAAGTAAACGAGAAAAGGTATAATAAAATTAAAGACAGTTATAAAATATAAAGACAGTGTTTCTCGTAGCGGAGTTTCAATATAAATAAATGTTAAACGTCACGACGATGATAATGTTGGGAATACTGACGAAAAATACTCACGGTTGCAGGCACACGAACGAAACTATCGGGATGAATTTACGCAGCAAGAACGATATTAATAAAAACCACTTTATTTTCCGATGGCAGGTACGGGAGAAAATCGTGGCGTACGGCAAACCGCGGGGCAAAGGAGATTTTACCTTTGCGTCCCGTTTTTCATTGCCTGAGAAGCGTATAGCGAATGTACATTTTATATACAGTTGAGAGTAAGTAATCGCCATTTCAAAGTCCGTCTCTTTGAAAAGAACGCCCGATGACGTTGTCTCGTAAGTGAGTTCGCATCGAGAGGTCCAGCCAGAGGTTGAACACATCCCTTTTTGTCACGCCACGCTATCCGGTTCCTGCGAACGCTCGACGGTCTCCGTCTTCCTCTCGCTACCTCCCAGAAGTTCCTGAATTTCGCGAAACGTCCGACCTTTGGTCTCGGGCACGGTGAATATCACCATCACGAATGCCAGTAAGCACGATGCCGCGAAGAAGTAGTAAACGGTATCGGTACCCAACCAGTCACCGATCACCTGATACAACTTGGACACGACGAAGCCAAGCACGCCGTCGAAAACGATGATGATGGCACCAGCGAACGCCTTCACCTCGGTGGGGAACAGTTCGCCGATCAGCGCGTTTGGCAGAGTACCTAATCCGATCTGGTAGACCACCTGGAAGACGATCACATCGATGACCGGAAGAAGATTCGCTGCTGATACGTCAACGCCCCTCGCGTCCAGCATAAGATATATCGCAAGAATCGCCAGGGTGATGGAGGAGCCTAGAGTGGAGGCGATCAGTAGTGGGCGTCTGCCCGCACCCTCGACGATCGCGGTTGATAATCCACATGAGATGAGGCCGACCGCGAGCACGAGTATTGTAGCCACGTTTGAATCGATGCCGATCGCCGCTTTTTTGAAGAGCACTTCAAGGTACTGTATGGTACTGAAGTTTCCACTAAGCTGCTGCGTCGCGATTAGGCTGAGTATAATACAGAGAGCTCGAATATTGCTGGGTAACAGCATCAGCTTTAGTTTGGCCATCCAGCTGCGCTTAATCGGTTCCGTTCGTGCCCCGGGAGTGTTATCGCGAACGTCCTCGATAAAAACGTTACGCAAGGTGTACTCCAGTTCTCTCCTTGCCTCGTCGCGGTCGCGGATTCCTTTGAAGAACGCCAGGGATCTGGTGGCTTCCGCTCTGCGACCCCTGGCTGCGAGAAAGGCGGGTGTCTCAGGGAACCAGCAGAAGCACGCGACGAAGACGATCGGTACCGCGAGGAGTACGCCCGTTAAAACTTGATACGATACCCACGGACCGATGCTGCACGTCAGCAGGGAACCGGTGAAGACGTTGACGGCGATCAAGGTGCCGAGGGCACCTCTGATCTCGACGTCGGCAACCTCCGAAACGTACATTGGATTGGTGGTGTACGAAATGCCCACGCCGATGCCGAGAATCACCCGGGAGACGTAGAGGGCGGCGACGGTCTTGGCGAAGAAGACGATCATCCAGCCGACGATGAAGAAACCGCTGGCAAACAGAAGAGACCTCTTACGGCCGTATCGATCGGCGAGACTGGCGCCGAGGAACGGCCCGATCATCGAGCCGATCACCGTCAGCGACACGATCCACGAGGTCTCGTCGTCGGTCAACTTCATCGGGACGTCGCTGGCGCCGGATGTGAGCCGCGAGAGCGACGTGGTGGTCCACCCGTAAACGGTGCCGACCGCCACCATGGATAGAGTAGCTGCGCAATTGAGATTGATGGAAGATTAATGCCGGCTAATTGATTGAACAATTGATTTTCATGTCATCTTTTGAGGGCGCGATATCTCATGAAATATGACGCGAACCTGATATGCACGCTAGCCACTGCCTCCATTGTGTCTGTTCCCGCTTTGTCGTTTGTTCGTCGCAATGCGTATCCTGGGCAGACGAGACTTGCGTCACTATCTCCCCCTTTGGCCTCGCATCCCTCAGCACGCCGATCTGCGACAGAAATTGATAACGACTTTTTATAGAGGACAAACGACAGCTTTCTTCGCTGCTACGCGTTTATAGCCGCACGAGCTAGGGAGATATGGACGTTTCAGCTTTCCTTCTCCTTCGCAAAATTAATTTCATAATTACTTAACGCTTTCTTCTCTCTATAAGTTTATAATTATAATTTTACCGATTACGAATTAGTCGCTACTTTTCTACCATCGAAATGATTCACGAAATGTTTCTGCGAACGCTTGAGCGTCATCACTGATTCGACGGCACCTGATACCTGTGCGTACATCTCCCTGCGCGTGACAGAATGCAGAAGTCTTTCCCGAAGTGCGAAGCAACAGGTGATAGTGATTAATGTGGCATGTAAGAAATCAAATGAATACCACGTTCTTCTCTCGAGGAGACTCAGACGTTGTGCGACTCGGTGATCCACGCGAACTACATCGACACGCGAAATAATGAACTTCGGACCCTGCGCTGACAATACAGAGCTGGTTTAGAGAAGAAATTTCAAGAGTTTCGACCAATAAAAAACGCAGTGCGTCAAGAGAACGGTTTGCCAAGCGCGACTGTTCCCGCGTAATCGACGTTCGCTCGTTCTCCGCTCGAGCGTGGCGCCAAGATAAAACTCCCCGATCGACTGCACATGCGCACTAGCATTATTTAAGAACAATATCTCTCTTGACGATCGCGTGTTTGCCCACGACATAACCTAGCTGGATCTCATCAGCGGCAACTACACGAACTTGTGCCGCCGATGGCTCGGCGCACGCGATAACGTTGACTCCGATAAAGCGTGCGAACCAACGGCGATATCTTGGCCTCTCGCCCCGCGGTACTCACCAACGTGCTCGCGCACCTTTTCACGACTTTTCGGAGCCGTCGCGCGCACATGTCCGCAAAGCGTTTGAAGACGAGACCGGCCGGAACACTCGTGCTCGCGTCACGGAGACGACGGGACCCTGTCGATTTCTTGCCCCGAGATTATTTTCGGAAGCATGTCGCGAACGCGTGCGATGCCGCTCGTCCGCGCAACAAAATGGAGCGCACGAGATAAGGGGGCATTACACAATACGCGGTCAATGCCCCGTCGCATCCTCCAATGTCAGAGCCGTTCCCCATGAAGTCCCCGAGTGCCGCCAAATGCGGTGTGGCCGATCGGCCCGACCATATTTAAAGAGATCCTTCACGAGACGCGCGTGCCATGGGATTCGAATTTCCTGATTCACGTTCTCTCAATTCTCTCTCTCTTTCTCTCTCCCTTTCGTTTGAAACGCGACGCCTTGCCAATGAGTAGTCTTTATGGCAGGTTTACAAAGTTCTTGGTAATAGTTCTTAGTTTACCGACAACTATTTCGTAAGGATCACGAGTATTTTGTAAGATGCATATTAAGAGACTACGGGAATCCCGGGCGTTCCGTTCGCATTCGCCTACTTCGCGCGAAACAATCTGCAAGAACCGTGTCCTCCGAAACGCAAAGCACGCTTACAACTCCGACGTTAGTTTCATTCGCGGATTACGATCCCTTTCTGTGTCGATAAGCAAGAAAAGCTGGAGAACTCCGACGAAAATCGCCCGTTGGAGCACGTTAATGCTCAATGACACGCGCATCACGTGCACGCTCCGCGCGCGTGCACGTTTCGTGAAAGTGAAACGGTACCACTTTCGTTGTGTTTAGTGTACGTGCGTGCGTGCGTGCGTGCGTGCGTGCGTGCGTTCGTTCGTGCGTGCCACCCGTGCGTATAACTTCAACTAAAAAAACACCGGACTGTTATCTAACCGTGAAACATATCTTGCGAGCGCGATAAAAGTGACTTGGCGAGCTCGACAAAAGCAGGACGAGATCGATACTCACCAGCGCGTCCGTCGCTCCTGTCATGCCGTCGCCGCTCCGGCCGCTTCGAAACGCAAGTGCGATCTAATTATAAAAACAACGTGCCGCGCGATCAACCGACGGCTCTTCTCGGAGATGACCACTTTCACACGATTTCGCTGATATTTCGGCCGCGTTGGTGGAACCGGATACACCGGGAAAACGCGCACGCGCCCGACACTCGGCGCGTCTGCTTTCGCGCTCGTGCACGTATATACACACGTGATCGCTCGTCTTCCTCCTTTTTTGTATCTCCATTTTTCCTTCTTTTTTTACACCACTCGTTCTCAACGTTCCGCGTTTGTGATCCCTCCTTCTACCAACCGCGATATTTATAATTGTCAAGATGGTGGAGGTCATCGGTTGACGTCTCTCACCAGCGGCACTTCGGTCGTGAAGAGACACTGATACTGGATGCGAGTGGCAATTAACGAACGATCTTTTATGGATGGTTTAGAAATTAACCGATAATACGCACCGAATATCCCATTGATTATTTGACTGTTGCGAATTAACTGATAATGTTAATAATTGCTTATTAACATTGTTAGTTGACAATTATTAATTATTGCTACATTTCAAGCGATACAGCTGTGCAACGAAAGGTAACCAACACACTCGAGGATGGAAAATTAAGACATGCGATGAATTAGAGTTGCCAAAAATTAAGTCCAGTTATCCAACAATCGCGAAAGAAATGCACTAATTTAAGTTAACGAAGATGTTTAATTTAATTTAACGCAAGTACGGCTGCGTATTTGCAATTAATAGTACGCGTTAGTTAATTGTCTAAATATCGCGTTGCGCGGCAGCGAACGTCGGCGTGTCGATTTCGTTCGATTTACACGACAAGCAGAGAAATCGGAGCAGCGGCGCATTGCAGCTGCGACGCGCGGACGGAACTGTGTCACTTACATTCGTGGTCGTAGCCATGTGAGACGAGAATGGAACGGCTGCCCTATTTCTTCTGGCGATTCCGGAGCTTCAGCCTTCAACAACGAATCCAACAAGTAGTTTCCTCGAGCTTTATCGAATACCCTTAATTTCAGGTCAGTCGGGTATCGATACTTTCGGTGGGTAACAATGCGATTGGCGCACATACGGTAGAACGTGATCGGCGGTGTCACTCTTTCTGGCTGGCTCTCACTGATTTTTCCAAGGCTCGTAGTCGCAGATTCTTAGAATATGGCTTATGGTTATTAACCTTTAGTTGTAGGTTATTGAATTTATTGAATTTCTCTCTCCCTCTCTCTCTTTCTCTTTTTTTCGTTCTCTTTTATATAAATATATCGATGACGAGTAGGATACGCAATATTATTCCACTATTCCATAATAGAACGTACTTATTTTACATGTATAATTTTAAACTTTATTCCGAGGAGGTATATAAATATAAATCAATTAATATCGATCGCGAAGATTATTTTTACTCGTACGTTCGCCGCAGTTGCACGAGATACTTCACTTGGACCGACAGTCCGAAATAATTTGTTCAGTTTTTATTACTTCGTTGCCTTTTTTAACTCTGTTCCTATTCCCGTATCTACTCTACGATGTACCATCTCGAAGTTTTCGAAGGTTGCAGTTAAACAACTAGTTACCAATATAATTATCAATTTATCGACTCGAGCGTCTCACTGCTTCCGTCGCCCGCGACCAGCAGGCTAAACACTGGTAACTTCCTAAAATCGAAACCGCGTCGGACCGGTCAGCCGCGTCTTATCGATGCGGCACGATCAATCTAATATATCTGTCACTTCATAATCAGCTGCAAAGCCGCGGCACCGACGACTCGCCACCACCCTCGCGTCCAATTGGCCTTAATCCGACTGTCGTTAATTACTCGTATAAGCTGGCACTCATTAAGTACCACTACGCCTGGAAATGACAACTGAAGGCCCGAGTGTCCTCGTGACGCGCGTCTTCTTTCACTGATTGGTAACGAGCAACAGGCTGTCGCTCCCACATGGTGGTGCCATTCATGATTCATGGAGAGAAAACGCACTTCTAATATTTCATCTGTTTCCTTATCTCCTGCTTCTCCACTATCTTGGTAGCTGACGATATTTTCGAGCGATCGTACCCACGCAGATTCGTCACGGTTTATCTCACGTCGCGCGTCTGCGACGTATGTGCGTTCTCCAACAAACTGTGACGACGGGCGATATAGTTGTTAATTGTCACCAGCGAGAAAATGTCAAGCATCGAGTTGAACCGCTCAATCGATCCCCACGAACGACTCGATTTATTCAAGTTCTGCCCGTCATCGTCGAAACCCATTAGCGTCGAGTGTAGAGGAAAGAGAGAAACACGGGGGCGCGATAGGAATTTTGTCTTCGCTTCCCTTTTTTTTTTTTAATCGGATAGGCGAAGGATGGATAGCCCCGAAGGGTACGTCAACCTTTTCGCTTCTAGCGACGAAAAAGGGAATCGATCAGGGTCTTAATCGGGCGCTTTCGGCGATTCAATAACGGGAACAACAAGCACACGATGCGTCAAAGGGATTTATTGCGTTTCAGAGTTAAGCTGATTGCGTTTCAGAGCGGATAGTTTCAGTTCTCTTGGAATACGCACGATCGGGGATAATCTGACATTTCAAAGCTGTAGCTTTGCAGAAGTTCCTAGCTATTCAAAGAATTGATTCCGACGTGACACATTGGTAAACTGATCTTTGATCTACCGTGGTTTGAAGGCGATCGCACTGAAAGTGTCGAACTGACGTACATTTTCAACTGCAAGACATCTAATTCGTTAACGTGACTGTCAAGAACATTTTATCATGCATCCCTACCTCGATATTTAGCATCTTAAAGGCAAATTTACTTAGAGACTTTGTTCTGACAAGTTAATAGGTTTGATAATGCCGCGACATTGATTATTTCTTACTCGAGCAGCTGGGATATTAAATTAATCCTTTCGCGACAGAAGACTATATTGATAGAAATTCTAATTATGTATGGATGCCGTTTGCTCCGCCTTCTGATTGCTAAGGTCCGTTGACATACAGCATGTGTGTCAACTTAATTAATCATAAGAGCACTGACGGATCAAGCTTGATATATTATTAACGGGTGATGAACGTCACGTTGCGCTTGCTCCATGATTAATTTCTATGCACGCTACGGTTTCAATTGGTAAATACAAGAGTAATTTCAATGTAATAGAAATTTATATCTGTAAACAGAGTACGCTGAAGTGTCCAAACGTTTTAACAGAATGTTGTCATCAATTCAAATTAGTTATATATAAAATTCTATAATCAGAAATTATTAAATAGGCCGTTAATATAAATATAATATATTAATATTTACGCCATTCTAACAATTCTTGAAGAGTAGTCATTCAATATATTTTGCTATTGACTATTTAATGAGCAGTGTGATATTGTCAGCGAGATTGTTATTATCATGTTAAATTTTGTGCTTGTTACAACGCG